AGCATCTGCTGCAGCAGCGCACACAGGATGAAGGCAAAAGGTCTTTGGGGACTTTGAAAGCATTTGTTGGAGAGTTGCTTGCATGCAAGTAGGCTTGGCTAGCACAGAATAAAATAAAATGGGAATAAATGCAAAAGATAAAATGTAAGTATTTTGCATGCAAAGCAGCACACAGAGTGAGTTGGGATGCATGAATTGCAGGGCAGCTGGGAGCTCTCTTTGCATGTCCATCTAAATAACTGAGTGGAAACTGAACAATAAATGATTAAAAGTAAGAAACAATACAAATGATTTTGTTTTAATTGAATTTACATTTTAAATGCATGCAAAACCTTCGAAGCCCCACTTCAATTCAAACTCGAGGGCTTTGGGGCTGCGCCTCTGCGCCCTTCCGGCAATTAATGCATGCATGCGCATGCAGCCGAATATGTCACTTTACATGTTTACATTTATATTTACATTTACATTTACATTTATAATTATTACATTTATAATTATATTTATGTATATGTATTTAAATAAATGTATAAATGTATGTATATGCATGTAGCTGCAAGTACACCAGTACGTACACATATGTATATATATGTATATGCACATATATGTATATATATACATATATAGGCATACATGTATATATATTTATGCACATATTCTATATATATATATATAGGCACACTTACAAATGCCTGTAAACAACGAATAATCGCATTAACCGGATATCCACACAAATACATCTGCACAAGTCCATAAATACATTTACGCATATATATGTATATATATCGATATCTATGTGTAGATATATATAAATATATATATGTTTATCTACACATAAATATATATATATATAAATATATATACATATATATTGTATATGTATATATACTCACACACGCACATATACGCATGCATATGTATATATATGTATGTATATATATATATTTCCTTGCATGCACATCTGCGCATGCACGCACACTTCTTCAAAACTTCTTCGTCATCGAAGCCACATCTTCCTCCCAATCCAAATAATTTAAAAACTTCTTCGCCTCCAAAGTCCACGAACAGTCGGCGAAGCCTAGGGGCTATAGGGGGCCCCTAGAGGGGCCCCTAGAGGGGCCCCTAGAGGATCCTCTCCATAGGGTGCCCCCTAGGGCCCCCTGAATGACCCCACTCGGGCCATTTGTCCTGTATGGGGGCCCCTACGGGGGCCCGTCCAATTCGCGTGGGGGGCCCCGTGGGGCCCGCCTGGGGCCCCTTAGCTGATTTCACTGCGGGCCCTCGAGTACTCGACATCCCACCTCTAGAGTCCCAGTGTGGCTCTGTCTTGATCTTCATGGGGGCCTCCTTGGGCCCTTCCTGGTACCCTTTTGGTACCCTTTAGTGCCCTTTCAGTGAGGGGCGCCGTGTGCTGGAAGTACCTCAACAACGCCAGCACCGGAGCCCCACTTTGGCTCTCCCCTAATCACGGCCCTGGGGCCCCTGGGGCCCCCCTGAGGCCGCAGGGGCCCCCCGGGTCCCGCAGGGGCCCCCCTGGGCGCGGAGGGGCCCCGTGGCGCGGGGTCAGCGGGGGGCCTCGTACCCCGGGAGGACGTAGGCAATGTCGTCGACGTCGTGTCTGTAGAGTCCCTGTTTGAGCCTCTTTTGGTCGAGGAAGTGGCCTATGAAGCCGATGCTGCGGCCGAGGACGAAGAGCCCGTTGATGCAGCCGTTGTCGATGTAGTCGTGGGCCTCGGGCTCGGAGAAGAAGCCGGAGTGCAGCAGCAGGTCGCACATGGAGACGCCAATGAGTCCGTCGACGTTGAGGATCAGCGAGGCCTTTTTCCGCGTGGTCTCCTGCTCGACTTGGAGCGCGAAGTGGACGAGCGGCGTCTCCGGGAAGTGCTGGAGACAGAAGTTCTTGAGGAGTTCGACGCGGCGGTCGGGGTTGTGGAGGGACTTGACTCTGTGGCCAATGCCCATGATGAGCTGGTTCTTGGCCTTGGTGTCTCTGACGAACTCCGCGGGAGACAGTCCCCTGCGGAAGGCGCCCAGGAACTGCTGCGCAGCCTTGTCGCAGGCGCCGCCAAACCTGTCTCCGATCGTGCAGAGGCCCGCAATCAACGAGCTGATCAAGTCCTTGCCAGCCCTGGCCGTCACAATGACGTTGTGGGCCCCACAGACCGCGGGCCCGTGGTCCGCAGTCAGCAGCAGCACCAGCTCCAAGTACCTGTAGCAGTAGGGGGCGAGGGGCCGCTTGAACCACAGGAGCGAGAGCACGCCGCCCACGCCCAAGTCCTCCTGGACGACTCTGCTGATGGGCCAGCCCGCGTAGAGCAGCTCTTCGCCGCGGTCGTCGGAAATGGTGGAGACGAAGCCCTTGGGCTTGCGCACGAGGCCCATCTTCTTGGCCCACGCGTAGTCCAAGGGCACCCGCGGCACAGGCGTCTCCTTCCTGGGGACGACCTCGCCGCTGCGGACCAGCTGCTGGAAGAGACTGCGCACAGTGTCCCCCAGCGCGTGGAAGGAGGCCGGCACGAGGGCGCCCGCGGCCCGCAGCGCGGCGTTCTTCGCCGCGGCGTGCTCCTCGCCGCTGCTGGCCCAGGCCCCCGCGTGGCCGAAGGCCACCTCCGTGGCCATCAGCGGCGCACAAGTGCCCACGCACCAGGCCACGAGGGGCTTGCGGAGTCTGCCGTCCCGGAGCGCAGCGGCGACTTCGAGCTCGGCGGCGCCGCCCACCTCGCCCAGCAGCAGCAGCAGCTTCACGTCGGGGTCCCGCTGCAGCCGCAGCAGGTGCTGCAGCATGC